ATACCTCAAGTTACCAGCGTCGTTCTCCAATTATGTTGCGTCTGTCCCTAGCTCGTCTTCCTTTGCCTTATGGCATGCTAGACTAGGTCATTTGTGCTCTGCAAAACTTCACTCACTTGTTTCTTCTGGATTGTTAGGGAATGTTAAATTTGAACCATTATCTTGTTCATCTTGTCAATTGGGGAAACATCATGCTTTACCATTTCATAATAATGATGTTACTTCTGTTTTTCCCTTTGATATTGTTCACTCTGATGTTTGGGGACCAGCACCAACCCCATCTATGGGTGGTGCTAGGTACTTTGTAATTTTTGTGGATGATCATACCCGTTTCACGTGGGTCTATCTTATGAAACATAGATCTGAACTCCCAACCATCTACATCAATTTTGCTCGTATGATTCACACCCAGTTCTCTAAACGAATAAAGATTCTTCGTGCTGATAATGCCATGGAATACAAGTCATCCTCTTTACAGTCCTTCCTACGTGATCAAGGTACTGTCTCTCAATATTCTTGTCCAGGCACTTCTCAACAGAATGGTCGTGCCGAACGTAAACATCGTCACATTCTAGACACAGTTCGTACCATGCTCATCTCTGCCAAAGTTCCCGAATACTTTTGGGGCGAAGCTGTATTCACTGCTATTTACACCATCAATAGACATCCTACATCCATTCTTCGCAATAAATCTCCGTATGAGCAACTTTATGGCATCTCTCCAGCTTTTGATCTACTCAAAGTTTGGGGTTGTGTTTGTTTCGTTCATCTTCAATCTCATGAGTACACTAAACTCGAATCTCGATCCCGCTTATGCTGTTTCTTGGGGTATGGCATCGAACATAAAGGTTACCGGTGTTGGGATCCCATTTCTAAGCGACTYCGTATCTCCCGTCATGTTACTTTCTGGGAACACAAAATGTTCTCTTCTATGTCTGAATTCCAGGTTAYTTCTCCTCCTTCTTCCCCTTTCTTTACTGATGTGTCAATCCCGTTAGTTGATTCTTCCTTTGAGCCGTCTATACCTACCTCACATACACCTCCACCCCAAAATCACACTCCATCTCCCGTTCCCGTTGATCCTGCTTCATCAGATGACACATCTCCTACGGTCGACTCTGAAGGTTCTTCTAGTTCTGAGGGCTCTGATACTTCACCACCGCCTCCTCACCGACGATCAGATCGGGTAAGACAACTTCCCTCTCATCTTCGTGATTTTCATTGTTATACCACTTTGTTGTCTCATCATGAACCCACCTCGTATAAGGAAGCATCAATTGACCCGTTATGGCAGGAAGCTATGAATGATGAAATTCAAGCATTACATAAGGCCCAAACTTGGGAATTTGTTCCTCTTCCTCCAGGAAAATCTTTAGTTGGGTGCAAGTGGGTGTATAAGGTTAAAACCCACTCGGATGGCACAATTGACAGGTATAAGGCCCGACTAGTGGCAAAGGGGTTCAATCAGGAATATGGAATTGACTACGAAGAGACTTTTGCACCTGTTGCCCGAATCACATCTGTTCGCTCTCTTTTGGCTATTGCCTCAGCTAATAATTGGCAACTTAAGCAGATGGATGTTAAAAACGCTTTTCTCAATGGTGATTTATCTGAGGAAGTCTACATGCGACCTCCTCCTGGGATTTCTCATCCWCCTGGACATGTATGTCGTCTACGAAAAGCTTTATACGGTTTGAAACAAGCGCCTCGAGCTTGGTTTGAAAAATTCAGTTCCACTATTCAGTCATTGGGTTTCAAGTCTARTGACTATGATTCTGGTTTGTTCACTCGCACTACAGGTGTCGGTACTATTCTCCTTTTGCTTTATGTTGATGATATGATCATCACAGGGAGTGATAGTGTGGGTATCTCTGAGCTCAAACAGTCTCTTCAATCCAACTTTGAGATGAAGGATCTGGGTGATCTGCATTATTTTCTTGGTCTGGAAGTTATACGAGATTCATCGGGTATCTACTTATGCCAGTCCAAGTACACCTCCGATCTTCTTATGCGATCAGGCATTACTGATACTAAAGTCTCTTCTACACCCTTGGAACACAACCTACATCTCCTCCCTAGTTCAAGTGCTCCACTTCGCGATCCCACTCTCTACCGCCAACTAGTGGGCTCTCTTGTCTACCTGACAGTTACCCGTCCCRATATTGCTTATGCTGTTCACACTRTTAGCCAATTCATGGYTGCCCCATGTTCCGACCACTACGCAGCTGTTCTTCGCATYCTTAGGTACCTTAAAGGTACTATGTTTCATGRCCTACACTTCTCCTCCAAATCATCACTTGTCCTTCAAGGTTACTCTGATGCTGATTGGGATGGGGATATGGCAGATCGTCGGTCAACCACCGGGTATTGTTTCTTCTTAGGCGATTCTCTTATTTCATGGCGCAGCAAAAAGCAGTCCTTGACTTCACGATCTAGCACCGAGTCTGAGTATCGTGCTCTTGCCGATACAACCCAAGAGCTTCTTTGGCTCCGTTGGTTACTGTCTGACATGGGAGCTCCTCAAGCCTCTTCGACAACACTTTGGTGTGATAATCGGAGTGCTATTCAGATCGCACACAATGATGTTTTTCATGAGCGAACGAAGCATATAGAAATCGATTGCCATTTTATTCGTCAACACGTTGTGTGCAAGACGGTTTGTTTGCAATATATCTCCACTACGGATCAGCCTGCTGACATCTTCACCAAGTCACATCTTCCCCGCCGGTTTCAAGACTTAGTTTCCAAACTCAAGTTGGTTCATCCTTCGCCATCTTGAGTTTGAGGGGGGGTATTAATGTATATATGTATTTTCTGTATATGTGTAGGGGCCTAGATGTTCTTTCGTATTCTTATTTAGGTATATATGTATTTTCCTTTTCCAG